TCACAGTTTCAAAATTATCTAAAAAAATATTTGCATGATGCAAGTTTGCTATATATCTAAATCAGGTAAATGGTATTCAACTTAAAGCAAAAGACATCGACAACAGGCAAGGACAATAGGCAACGACAAGAGGCAACGACAACAGGAAACGACAACAGGCAATGTCAACAGGAAAATAAAAACAGACATCGACAACAGCAAACGGCAACATACAACGGCAACAATCAACGGAAACAGTCAACGGTGACAGACAACGGCAACATACAACGGCAACCTGCAACTGAAACAGACAACGGCAACAGACAACGGAAACAGACAACTGCAACAGACAACGACAACAAACAACGGCAACAGGAAACGACAACAGGCAATGTCAAGAGGAAAATAAAAACAGACATCGACAACAGCAAACAACAACATACAACGGCAACAATCAACGGCAACAGTCAACGGAAACAGACAACTGCAACATGCAACTGAAACAGACATCGACAACAGACAACGGCAACAGACAACGGAAACAGACAACTGCAACAGACAACGGCAACATGCAACTGAAACAGACAACGGCAACATACAACTGCAACAGACAACAGCAACAGACAACGGCAACACGCAACTGAAACAGACAACGGAAACAGACAACGGAAACAGACAACGGAAACAGACAATGGCAACAGACAACGGCAACAGACATCGGCAACAGAACATGGCAACAGGCAACGGCAACAGGCTACGGTGACAGACATTGGCAAGAGACAACTGAAACAGGCAAACGCAACAGACAACGGCAACAGGAAACGACAAAAGGCAAAGGTAACAGGCAACGGGAACAGGCAACTGAAACAGGCAACAACAACAGGAAACAACTTTTTTAAATGAAAAACGTTAAAGAATTTAAATTGCTATTCTAAAATTGAAAATGACTTGTGCAATATAAAATTGCCTGGGCCATAGGAAATGAATTCGGCACTATGAAATGAATTGGGCCATATGAAATGACGTCGGCACTGTGAAATGACTTGGGCCATATGAAATGACTTCAGCCCTATGAAATGACTTGGGCCATATGAAATGACTTCAGCCCTATGAAATGACTTTGGAAAAGTAAAATTACTTGGGCCATATGAAATGACTTCGAAAATATAAAAGAACTTAGGACATATCAAATGACTCGGGAAATACAAAATGACTTGGGCTACATACAATGACTTGGGCTACATACAATGACTTTTGCTATATTCAATTACTTCTGCTCTATGAAATAACGTGGGTAATATAAAATGACTTGGGAAATATAAAATGACTTTGGCAATAGGAAATGACTTCAGCCCTATAAAATGAATTGAGCTATATAAAATTACTTGGGGAATATAAATGACTTCAACCCTAGGAAATGACTTGGGAAAAAAATTAATTGGGCCTTATGAAATGACTTCAGCCATATGAAATGATTTGGGCCATATCAAATGACTTGAGCAATATAAAATAACTTGGGCAGTATGAAATGACTTGGGCAATATAAAATGATATGGGAAGTATAAAATGACTTGGGGGATACAAAATGACTTGAGCAATAAAAAATAACTTGGGCCATATGAAATGAATTGGGGGATTTGAAATGAAATATGATGCTTACAGACTTTGATAAGAGAGAAAGATTGGGTCACGTGGTGCTAACATAGTTCAAATGAACCCACAAATGATATTCATATAACATAGAGAAATATTACTTTAAAGCCAAATCTCCACACATCCGCTTTCCCCGCCACTTTGAAATTGTAATCGTACGTACGATTATTAGATTTATGTTTAACCTACTTCTTTGTCCATGTTTTAAAAGTGTCTTAGGATTCATACGTTTATTGACCTGAGATCTCTTGCTGTGTTTCCATCAGGGTCATGCCAGAAGTTTAAATCAGAGGGACAGGACTGTGATCTATTCGAACAAATGAATGGCTACTGTGGATGTGAACCCGGCACCGTCTGTAGTAGATACCCAACAGCTAACAACACGACCAGACACAGACGGATGGTGACGGCGCCCAAACCAGGGTGCTCGTTTGACTTTCAATGTCGCCCAACCAAAGAATGCAATTAATACCACAATTTTTTGTTGGTTGAGCGTTAAGCGCTGATATGTCAACCAATTACTTTTCCTGGCCTGGTGACTCGTCATATTATCGAATCACAAAGATCCTCATTTTTCGAGAAAATACAGTTGACGTGAATTACAATAAGATTAGTAGCCTAGTGTAACGACATGTGATGTCCAGGTCTTTTATTAATAAACAAATTTAGTGGTGACATGATGGTATACAGTTGTTGGTGTATTTATGAGGATTGTGAAGTGTGTTTGATTGGTAATGTTTTTATATGTGGTTTGTAGTGATTTGTAGTGTGGTGTGTAGTGATTTGTAGTGTGGTGTGTAGTGTGTTTGATGTGAAGTGCGTAGAGTGTTTGGAATAAAGTGTGTATGTGCTTGATAGGAAGTGTGTACTGTGTTTGGTTTGCATTATATAATGTGTGCACCGCCCATAATTGGACAATTAGTGCTTTGAACATCTTTGGCTTCTCATCATGTGCAGAGCTTTTGCTTTATATTCAATAAATAAGAGACAATTATGTAAGACATTCCACCAAAGATAGACGATCAGCCTCATGTGTGCAAGAAAACAACAACTAGAAACCCCAAACTGCATACCAAAATAACCAATCTAAGACCTGACAATCTAAGACCTGACAATCTAAGACCTGACAATCTAAGACCTGACAATCTAAGACCTGACAATCTAAGACCTGACAATCTAAGACCTGACAATCTAAGACCTGACAATCTAAGACCTGACAATCTAAGACCTGACAATCTAAGACCTGACAATCTAAGACCTGACAATCTAAGACCTGACAATCTAAGACCTGACAATTTAAGACCTGACAATCTAAGACGTGACAATCTAATCCCGTCGTTGAACAGCCTCCAACCTATCGATGATCTTCTGGGTTAATAAGATAAGATAAGACAAGATAAGATTCTTTTATTGATCCAAACAAATGGATATGTTTTATGATTGCATCATGCATTTTCTCATTAGTTCTCATTACGATGTGTGACTTCAGAGGGAGCATGCTGGTCAAGTCGTACAGATTGGGTCCCAGACTGAAGATGCCTAATCTAAAATCTGATGGACAAAAGCTTTATAGGCTCTTTCTTTCACATAGGAGTTGCCAATCTTTAGATTACGCCTTAAGAAACCCTGTGTCTTGTCTGCCTCGTTGCACACATTGTTAATATGCTCGTCCCAACGGACCTCTCTTTTTATGGTAACACCCAGGTACTTTACGGTGAAAACTGGCTCAAGTATATGGCCATGCAATTCGTATTGGTAGTGTAGAGGAGTACAACTTCTAGAGAGACTGACAGTGTATGGCACTTGGCAGTATGAAATTCCATGTCCTAGCTCATCTCTAGCTAACCGATTGAGATCCTGTTGCAGCTGCTCCTAGTTCGATCTATGGCGAACTTCCTATTCACCGCAGTGTCATCTGCGAACAGTCTTGCTTGGGATGCTAGTTTCTCAGGTAGATCATTGATATATACTAGGAACAAACAGGGGCCTAGCACTGATCCCTGGGGGACCCCTGACTTAACGGCGACAAAGGAGAAGTTTGTACCGTCCACCACTACTGCTTGGCATCGGTTGCTGAGGAAGCTTGAGATCCATGTTTTAGTAGTGCCTTGGATCCCATATATCTGCAGTTTGTGTAGAAGCAAACTATGATTGACAGGGTCAATTGTTTTTGAGAAGTCCATCACCAGCGCGTCAGTTTGCTTGCTGTTCTCCAGATTGGTCATCAGGTCTTCTACAAATTCAAGGATCTGAGTCTCACATGATCGATTGACTTGGAAGCCATGTTGACAGTCATTGAGTATATTTTCGCTTTCAAGATGCTTCATGACTGTGCTTACGATTATGTGCTCCAACAGTTTGCATACCCTGGCGGTAAGGGATATCGGACGATAGTTGGCAGGGTCGGAATGCTCCCCTTTCTTGTAAATTGGAGTGACATGCGCTGTTCTCCAGTCTGCTGGAACATTTCCTGTGCACAGTGACGATTTGAAGAAGATTGTCAGTGCAGGAGCGATTTCTTTGGCAAATTCTTTGACTTGAGCACTCGTAGTTTTATGTTATCGGGATCACATGATTGGTAGGGGTTTAATGGTTTTGAGGTGGGCAAGCACACCCTGCTCTGATATCTGGATAACTTCCATAACGGGGTAGGCTCTGTTCATCACGTTGGTCTTCTAAAGGAACTCAGCCTCCGAGTACTCTCTCCCGTCACCAAAGACCGACTGGAACTGCTGATTGAGTATGATTGACCTGACAATCTAAGACCTGACAATCTAAGACCTGGCAATCTAAGACCTGACAATATAAGACCTGACAAGATAAGACCTGACAATCTAAGACCTGACAATCTCAGACTTGACATCGGTTAAAATCTGGCAAACATTAACAACATTTGGAAGTGACAAGCCATAAACCCCAGTGAGTAAAGCATATGTTCAAAACATAACACCCTGGCATATGTTCAAAATGGTTCTAGGATGGTACTAGCCTTGTCTGGGATGGTACCTGCTATGTCTAGGATGGTACCAGCCATGTCTAGGATGGTACCTGCCTTGTCTTGGATGGCACCAGCCTTGTCTAGGATGGTATTAGCCCTGTCTAGGATGGTACCAGCCATGTCTAGGATGGTACCAGCCATGTCTAGGATGGTACCAGCCATGTCTAGGATGGTACTAGCCCTGTCTAGGATGGTACTAGCCATGTCTAGGATGGTTCTAGCCTTGTCCGGGATGCTACCTGCCATGTCTAGGATGGTACCAGCCATGTCTAGGATGATACTAGCCCTGTCTAGGATGGTACCAGTCGTGTCTAGGATGCATCCACTCAAACGTTCACTTAATATAATTGATGGCACATGAGGCCCCGGTAACAGAGACACATGAGGCCCCGGTAACAGAGACACATGGAGTATTTCATAAAGTTCCCACCGATAAGACTTTCCGCTTTGGCTATAAATAAACAGCCCCAGTACAAGAACGTTACGCCGCTGTCTTGGGAATCTTTTAGTCTGGACTTAATCTTACAAAATGTATAAGGCAATTATTTGTGTTCTAGCTTGTGCCTTTGCCGGTGCAATTGTGAGTAGGTGTCAATGTAACTATGTTTGGTTACAAGTCTATGCGACTGTGTTTGGTTGCAGGTCTATGCGACTGTGTTTGGTTACAAGTCTATGCGACTGTGTTTGGTAGAGTATATAATATATGTTTCTACCTTCTACAGCAGTACATTTCCATACAAACAAATTGATAGATTACTTGACTATCCTAGTAGAGTGTTTCCCAAACTTTCGACATATGTGTACCCTTGTCTATAATTTCTTAACACTGAGTAACCTTCGTTAAAACATTGCACATACTTTAACAACAATAAAAGAAATTAATTTTTTCTTTGCAATTCTTACCCCCACAAATAATCTTTACGTAGCCCCAGGTGTAAGCTTTGGAAAATATTGTCATAGTAGATGGAAGGCTGTGAAGATTTCTTTCTATTTTATTTTCTGTAGTATATCAGCCATATGACGGACCTCTGTGGTATATCAGCCATATGACGGACCTCTGTGGCATATCAGCCATGTATAATGATTTTCTCTTACTTTCTCATCATAAAAAAACACATTTTGATTCACAGCATACACAAATTATTGATTGTGTAATGTTTTCTTGGAGACACTGTCTAACCAGATGTATTTAAGCGTATACCCTCTTCTAAAATATGGAGACAACTCTCTTATTGCGATACCTACTTCAAATTAACGGAGTCAGTGCTAATCCGTGCTATCCCAAATTCTACAAGACGGAGTCAGTGCTAATCCGTGCTATCCCAACTTCTACAAGACGGAGTCAGTGCTAATCCGTGCTATCCCAAATTCTACTAGATGGATTCAGTGCTAATCCGTGCTATCCCAACTTCTACAAGACGGAGCCAGTGCTAATCAGTGCTTTCCCATTATTTACAACTGAGCCCCACATATTTCTTATTAAACTTCAGTATCTTGTTTTCTCCCCAGGCTCTGGTAGGCAAGACATGTACCAGCAACAGTCAGTGTGACCCGAGCGAATGTTGTCAGATCTTGAATGCCTTCATGGTTGTGAGCAAACGTCAGGCTCAGGACCTTAGCTTGTTCCAGAACCCAACCAATGGTGAGTGGTTGGCTCAGATCCTTAGCTATTTCGAGAACCTAAACAAGGTTGGGTGGTAGGTTCAGGCCCTTAGCTAATTTTGGAACCTAAAAGAGATTGAGTGATAGGCTCAGGCCCTTTGCTAATTTGAGAACCTAAAAAGGTTGAGAGGTAGGCTCAGGTCCATTTCTAATTCGAGACCCCGACCAAGGTTGAAGGGTAGCGCCCATGACGTGTTATTTTAGCGAGATGATGGCGCAAAAATTTAAATGTTGTCGACTTTGAATAGTGGATACTTTTGACAATATACTTGGCAGTTCTGACCACATACTGGACAGTTAAGACCATGACTTATAAGTTCTGACCATTTGGCTATGACAAAGAATATTATACATTAGATACGTCTCCAGCAGCCTACAGTAGTTGTATGTGTTATCCCTTGTGCAATTTAGACACATTCTTCTTTTCTCTTGGATGCTAATACTTTGTCCTCACACAACCTCCTCTCCACGCAACCCCCGCTCTACACAACCTCCTTTTCACACAGCCTCATCTCTACACAACCCCCTTTTCACACAGCCTTCTCTCCACACAACCTCCTCTTTACACAACCTCCTCTCCACACAACCTCCTCTATACACAACCTCCTTTTCACACAGCCTCCTCTCTACACAACCTCCTTTTCACACAGCCTCCTCTCTACACAACCTCCTTTTCACACAGCCTCCTCTCTACATATCCTCCTTTTCACACAGCCTCCTCTCTACACAACCTCCTCTCCACACAACCTCCTCTTTACACAACCTCCTCTCCACACAACCTCCTCTCTACACAACATCCTCTCTACACAACCTCCACTTCACACAACCTCCTCCTCAAGCAACCTTCTCTTTACACAACCTTCTCTTCACATAACCTCATCTTCACACAAACTTCTCTTAACACCAACTTCTCTTCACACACACTTATCTTCACACAGCCTCCTCTTCACACAACCTTCCCTTCACACAATCTCCTCTTTACACAACCTTCTCTCTACACAACCTTTTCTTCACACAACCTCCTCTTCCCACAACCTCCTCCTCACGCAACCTTCTCTCTACACAACCTCCTCTTCACACAACCTTCTCTTTACACAACCTTCTCTTAACACAAACTTCTCTTCACACACACTTCTCTTCACACATCCTCCTCTTCACACAACCTCTTCCTCACGCAACCCTCTCTTGACACAACCTCATCTTCACACAACCTCCTCTTCACACAGCCTTCTCTTCACACAACCTTATCTTCACACAACCTTATCTTTACACAACCTTCTCTTCACACAACCTTCTCTTCACACAACCTTCTCTTCACCCAACTTTCTTCGACCAAAATGTTCAGACCAAATTCTCGTCAACGTTAACTCACGCAGATGTTCTCAAACTGTGGACGCTTAGCCTCTGACGGTGGCACAAAAGATATTCAAGAATACATAAAATGAATTTTTTTTTTCCCGCAAGGCGTGATGGTCCCTGTCAAGACCTTGAGAAGTCATGTACCAACGTTGCCCGTTGATCAATACCTGTATTGCCCATCGTGGTGTCAATATCATAGCGAATTTGATTGATAGAAAATGTCTTGACATTAAGAATATTTTAATTTCTTCCATCGGTGCACTTGATTGAACATCTTTTTGTCTTAAAATTTGTATTCATAAAAGGAGGCCACACAAAGGTTTGATCGTGATTGTGAACACACAAAGGTTTGATCATGATTCTGAACACACAAAGGTTTGATCGTGATTGTGAACACACAAAGGTTTGATCGTGATTGTGAACACACAAAGGTTTGATCGTGATTCTGAACACACAAAGGTTTGATCGTGATTCTGAATACTGCTATCTCGAAAACAGATCAAGAAGCATACTATGGCCTCAGATAGTTCGTGTCGAAACTTAATAAAAAAAAAAAAATGACTATCAATCGCTTCTGTGGTTACGTTTAGAGCAGGACCGTAGTTAAAAGCAGTGCGTCGTCCATTGCAGAGACGACGCGTGTTTTTAGAGGCCCCAAGCCTATTTTCTATTCAGCGCCCTCTTCCATTCAAAGGTAATTGTTTGTTGTAGTTTTTTACTCCACAAAACAACGTTGGGCCTCTTAAATATACAAGACCCCTTACGTGAAGGCTCTGGTCAATAATTAACAGTGTGAATTTTGGTTTAAAGTTTAGACCAAGAAATTCTAACCTTTTTTATAAAAGCACCCCCCCCCCCCTTTCCCAAACACCTTTTTTCTCAATTTTTTTTTTCCCCCCCAAAACAACGTTGGGCCTCTTAAATATACAAGACCCCTTACGGGAAGGCTCTGGTCAATAATTAACAGTGTGAATTTTGGTTTAAAGTTTAGACCAAAAAATTCTAACCTTTTTTATAAAAGCCCCCCCCCCCCCCTTTTCCAAACACATTTTTTCTCAATTTTAAATCATTTCCCACACCCACAAGATGAAAAATGCTAATAAATCTGATATTCTGATTGTTCCCACAGCCTCTGGTTAAGAACCTATTTTCTGTACCATTATTTTATTACGCATATCCTATTTGCTCTATTTTAGTGGATCTTCTATTTACGTATGTTCTCGTTGATCTTCTATTAACGTCCATCAAAGATGATCTCTCTCGGTAAAAATATCAAAGGAAAAAATAAAACAATTTTGTAAAAACAAAAATCAAAAACTTTAATTTGAATTTGACTTTTCCCCAGGAACCTGCCAGAAATATCGACTAGAGGGAGAGAACTGTGGAACGTTCGAGAAGATCAACGGCTACTGTAGCTGTGAGCCTGGCACCACGTGTCACATGTACGAGGTGCCCCTTGCCTCCGCCGTCAACGCAAGGATGATTGTGGCCCCGCGACCCGGGTACCAGTGGGTCTCAAAATGTGAAAAACCAGCGCCAGCATAATCGTAACTGAACATTATCTGGACGAGCAGCAAGGAGGGGCAGCAAGGAGGAGCAGTAAGGAGGTCATATTTTGATAGGATGAGCAGTAAAGAGGCCATATTTTAATAGGACGAGCATTAAAGAGGCCGTATTTTAATAGGACGAGCAGTAAAGAGGCCGTATTTTAATAGGACGAGCATTAAAGAGGCCGTATTTTAATAGGACGAGCAGTAAAGATTCCATGTTTTAATAGGACCAGCAGCAAAGAGGCCATATTTTAATAGGACGCGCAGTAAAGAAGCCATATTTTAATAGGACGCGCAGCAAATTTTAATACAACTGCAAACATTTAATTTTCTTCTGGATGGTTAATTAGTTTAGTTTGTAATTAAAAAAAAAAATAATAAAAAAAATAATGAATCAATGAATGTAATTATTTGTTTTTCTCTTTTTCTGTTTCAAAAGCATCTTTATAACATTGAAGTAACAACTTCATCTCTTTAGTTACCTGTGACTATTCTACCGGCTGTTATTACACGAAACCAGGCCCGTTCTTACACATATAATGACTATGCATCCGCGTAGGGCCCCGAACGTGAGGGGGCCATCCGGGGCCCCCAACCTACGCTCCATGCTGAGGGCCCCCAAACCGCTAAGAACGGCTCTGATGTGTGTGTGTCTGACTATGTGTGTGTGTGCGTGTGTATGTCTGTCTATGTGTTTGTGTGTCTGTCTATCTATGTGTGTGTGTGCGTGTGTATGTCTGTCTATGTGTATGTCTGTCTGTCTATGTGTTTGTGTGTCTGTCTGTCTATGTGTGTGTGTCTGTCTATGTGTGTGTGTCTGTCTATGTGTGTGTGTTTGTGTCTGTCTATGTGTGTGTGTCTCTCTGTTTAAGTGTGTGTGTCTATGTGTGTGTCTGTCTATGTGTGTGTGTGTAAACTGTGACACAATTACCCAAGACCAGTCCACCCCCCCCCCCTAAAAAAAAAAGTTTACGTCTAGCACCACAGACAGGTGAACAAGTTTCTCATAACACCAGGGACAGGAAGTAGATTTATCAATCGTTTTATCTTTATCGATGTGTCTTATTCAATCCACGATCACCCGATGCGACAGGACTCTCCAACTATGCTCATTTAAGGCAAGCCGTGTCATGATTGTTTGGTTGCCGCCTCTGATTAACTTCTTTCCTGCCCCATGATGTGTGGACAAGAACCACCCCCTCCCCACCTATTCTTTTCTTCCCACCCTCCTGTCTTGTTGTCTATGTTGAACGACTTCTGCCACCTGTGTCAATGTTCAAAAAGTGACCGTTGATGTCTTGACTGTCAATCATCTCCTTGCTAGGATGTCGCCCCGTGCGTCAGCTGTTACAGATGTTACGATAGTAACAAACCAATTATCCGGCTTCTCTGATGGGACAACATCGCTTCGATTTGTATTCTTGATATCAAGGTAAACATTTAAAAGGACGGATGTGACGTACGTAATAAAATGGCGTCCCTTCTGTTCACCTGGAACTTTGTATTATTTATGGCTCATCTATTGTCCTTGACCTGTTTCAAAGATTAATTTTTATCGGGTAAATTCGTAAAAATCGTGGACATTTCTGAGTCCGGTTTAATGTTGCTGGTGTCACTTTGTCAATCCTAGTGCTAACATAATTGAGAAAAACTGTGAAAAGGAAAGGTAATAAAGAGATTAAGCGAGATTCTGATAGAATTGTTGACGCTGAACTAGTCGATAAAATGTCATTTGGGAAATGAGCATGTGGTGGCAATGTGATAACCTATTTGTCCTGTGAATGACATTCAATAGCCAAGCAACGGGTCTGATCAATATTTGATCGCTTCTCTGAGATGTTACGACAGAGAAGACTCCATAGATTTAATCAACATTGTTCTAATGCTCTAACATTTGCATACTATTTGAAATTTATGTTTTGGTAATAAAAGTGCAAGATAGAGAGAAAGTGTAAAAGACAGGGTGGCAAATAGGCAGGCAGGCAGACAGAGAGTGAGCGAAAGAGAGATAAAGAGAGAAGGAGAGAGTGGTGGGGAAAAAAAGAGAGGGGGTGGGAGAGAGAAGGAGAGAGAGAAAAGAGAGAGAGGGAGATAGATGGGGAGAAGGAGAGATTGGAGAGAGGTGGGAAGAGAAAGAGAGAATGAGAAAGAGGGGAGAGAGATTGAGAGAGATTGAGAGAAGAGGAGAGAGGTGGGGAGAAAAAGAAACTAAGATGGTGAAAAGGTGGGGAGAGAGATGGGGAGAGATGGGGAGAGATGGGGAGCTAGAGAAAGATAGTAAGATAGAGGTGGGAAGGGAGAGAAGGGATAGAGAGAAAGGGGGAAATGGCAGAGAAAAAAGAGAGAGAAAAGAGAAAGAGAGGGAGAGAGAGAGGGGAAAAAAGAATTAGGGGAGATAAATAACGAGAAAGAGAGAGGTGCAGGGTTTTTTTCAGACATCTCTCCGGGGTCACTGACCCCCGGGGAAGTCAAGTGCCCCCCCCCCCGAGCAAAATGGTTAAAAACAATAGAATCAGTTTTAATCAGTTTTAAAAAGATTAGTGACTGGTGTTTTGATCCGATTACAATTAGTGGAATCTATTAAATATCGCTACACTCGATATATTTAATGATCCGTATATTTAAGGTTAATCTTGTTAAAGGCTTCTGGTATTCGATTACAAACATTGTACTGGCCACTTCAGATTATAAGCCAAATTCTTTTTTTTTTTTGTGTGTGCAAATTTTAAGACTTGAATAACACTGCATTAAAACACCTTTACATCAAGATCAAGGACAACAATTCTAATAATAGTTCTTGCCAAGTATCCAACATACGCAGTCTATGTTCCATTTATAGTTCATCATAAAAGCATGACTTTTAAAGTAGGGATAGGTGTTAATTATAAATTGATGATATTAGTCTTTAAAAAAATATTTGTATTGGCATAACTATAAATGTACTAGATTCCGTGAATGTTGAGTTATATAAAATGGGAACTTAAAATATTGAGATATATTTTTTTAAAATTAATAATTTAACGGGCGCATACAAATAATGCAAATTTAATTAATTATTACATTGAAAAAAATTGTGTTTTCTTTAAACGTGCTACGTTTGTAACAAAGTTTCCTGGATAACAGAGGTTTAAAAAAAAAATTAGCCAATATTTATTTAGCTCCCACCAGCTTTTATCTTTTTAATATTAGAATAATAAACAAACTGGCCCATCTGTTGGCAAGTATTATTTTTGAGCAAAATAAAATTTGTTCAAGATTAGAATCGATCAGAAAGTTAAAATAAAGAAGATGAACTAGCATTTCACTTATCATGCAAATTCAATTTTTTGTTGTTGATACTTCTTTTAGAAAAAATTCTTCTTCCTAATTGGTCAGTTTAAAATAAATTATGTGGATTTTTATGGACATTTTTTAAATTTAAAGTATATCTAAGTGGCAATGTTCAATTTATCTGAAAAAAATGTATAGTAGTTTAGAAATAAAAATAATTCAATCAACTGAATATTGGGACAGTTCTACTATCTTGTAAACAGCTCATGTCTTCTTGACATAATAATTCTGTTTGTGTACGATTGATAAAAATGACCAGTTTCTAGAATGACCCATGAAAATGCATAAACCTTTCTACTTAACAGTTTTCTGTCTTCTTTCTTGTTTTGGTAAAACATGGAAATATTTAGCAAAGTTAATTATTTCACGTAAGTTGATTATCATAAATATATTTTTTTCATTTGTGTGTAACATACAAAATGATGTTAGCAATGAATTTTTGTGATGGCAATTTTTTTTTTAAAGTTCATTTATTAACTGTGTAGGTAAGCCACAAAGACGTTTTACTTTGTTTTAATGAAAGCCATACACTATTTAGTGATGTATAAAATATTTGCAGAACACAAATGCGTCAGGGAGAGTTGTCATTCAACTTGTCGAGCCACACCCACCCCCTTTTTGGCATTATTTGGTTTTGTCACCCTATTTCCTGCCGATATTCTTTCTTTTATTTCTGTTAGTCTTTCATTTCTTTCATTTACTATGTTTTACTTTTTTTTAATTAAAGCCTTACCCTATTTAGTGATGTATAAAATATTTGCAGAACACAAATGCGTCAGGGAGAGTTTTCATTCAACTTGTCGAGCCACACCCACCCCCTTTTTGGCATTATTTGGTTTTGTCCTCCCCCCCCCCCTTACCTAAAATTAATAAAAATGTCCGAGGCCCCCTGCAGCTGTAGGGATCGATGAGCTCACACGATGGTTCTAAGTGACACCTACATTTTTTTTAAAACAAGCATTTCTTCCGTTGCTCTCCAAGTGTAGAATGTTGCACAAACTTAGTTTGAAGCATTTGCTCAAATGTAATACTTCATTTTTAATTTATCAAAAATTTACTGGGGTCTTTAAAGATGTAATAGTCGATATTAAACTAAGGAAAATTCATACCCTCAAGGACGCCTCAATTGGAATGTATTTAGTTCATGTTGGGCTGAAGCAAGTAAAACATATTCCTAAATATAGCTAATTTTAGCGCTTCGCACAGGAAAGTCTAAAATCCAGCCCCCCCTAAAAATTGCTGAAAGAAATATAAAATTCAAGTAACGCCAAATTGCACCTATGCATTTTGAATATGTGCGACGGTCTTCAGCACCCTCAAATTCTGCACCCCTTCCCCCACACTGATTACAGTATGGGATTGAATATACGCTTGTGCCAAATGATTACCCAGGGGCACGCCGCAACCTGATGGAATTCAGTTTATGTTTTGCCCTAAATGCCATAATGTCTCACTTGGATGTTAGAAATTCCTCCCCAGATGCTAGAGTCTCAAACAACGAATTCAGGTATACTCCTAAATGCACCTTTTGATTTTGAAATAATCTAAAATCTGCTGGGTAGGCTCCCCAGACCCCTCCCCTTTTACTCAAGAGCCTACAGCGCCCTCAATATCTGCCAACAGCGCCCTCAATGTTTGCCAACAGCGCCCTCAATGTCTGTCAATAGCGCCCACAATGTCTGCCAACAGCGCCCTCAATGTCTGCCAACAGCGCCCTCAATGTCTGCCAACAGCGCCCTCAATGTTTGCCAAGAGTGCACTCAATGTTTGCCCTTCTTTCCCAAAAAAATGTCAGTACAGCTGGCACTGGTCATAATTTTTGTTGATGATATATTCACAACACAGTGGAGTAGCAAGTGTTAGTGCTGATAGATAAACAACATAGAAGAGTAGCTAGTGTTAGTGCTGATAGATAAACAACATAGAAGAGTAGCTAGTGTTAGTGCTGATAGATAAACAACATAGAAGAGTAGCTAGTGTTAGTGCTGATAGATAAACAACATAGAAGAGTAGCTAGTGTTAGTGCTGATAGATAAACAACATAGAAGAGTAGCTAGTGTTAGTGCTGATAGAT